CTGCGGGGGGGGGGGGGGGAGACACGACACGGACGGACGGACGATGACGGACAGTTATTAAACTTAATTACCAAAGTCCTCAATTATAAGGTTTCTTTTTTGAAATAATAACAGTATTACTTGGAAACACTTTCTTATTTTTATTTTTAACACCTAATCTTAAATCCATTTCATTCCTTTTTCTTTCCCGCCCTGCCCCTGCTGGGACTTACTATTTTTCTACTTGTTTCTTAACAAAATTATTTTTTTCTGTTGTTTAGGTGCTAGATACAGCATAACCTTTTTTCTAGTGTAATTTATGCCATTGACTATGTTGTTTATTTTAGTAAATTAATGTTAGAAAGAAACTCTCTTTTTTTCATTAATCTGTGTAAAAATGTGTGTATCTGCACGTATGTATATTTATACATGTGCATGTATATATAAATATATACAGATATAAACTTCTAGAGCACTTTTACTTTCATTTAATTCACAAGTCTTTATGAATTTCTGTGTTGGAGAAGTAAAAACGAGTATATTTCCTCCAAAACAAAATTCAAGAAAGATCCTTTAAAACATTACAATTATGGAATGTGCCATTAATTGTGATTATAACTCTCCATATTATATAACGTACTTTAATAAAAGTACTGCAATCTAGAAATATTCTTGTAGCCTTCAGTCACTGTCATGAACATGTATTTAGAACTAGATTTTAGATATCAATAAATGTTAAAAATGTTGAACTAGGTTGCATTAACGTTCCCATTATCACTATTACTAAAAATATTTGTTTTCTATTAAAATATACCTTAACATTTTCTTCTAATTGCAGCTGAATGTGGAGCCTCCACGACAAATAATGAAGGAATCTTACTGTCCCCAAATTATCCTCTTAACTATGAAAACAACCATGAATGTATTTATAGCATTCAGGTACAAGCGGGGAAAGGAATCAATATTTCTGCCAGAACATTTCACTTAGCCCAAGGAGATGTTCTTAAGGTATGTAATCATGTAACTTATTTGTTATTTCTAAACTTGTAGTTTCTCATATAGTTGAAGTTTATCTGTTTGTGATAGTACAGTATCAGGTAAGTTTATGTTAAGCGTCTCTTAGAAAATATGTATCTAAACCAGGTCCGCTTCTAAAAAGTTAAAAATTAGGCAACCTGAGGTGTTTCTGTAATCTGTCTCTTAACATATAATTTTCTGGCCACATATAATTAAAAAAGAGATTGGAACTGTAAATTAAATGTTGCCTTAATGTGTATTTGTATTCTATTATTAGTGTTAAATATTCATCATTTACATCTTTTGTAAATTCTGTTTTCTTCATCAGTATCTTTATAACTTGAGCTGTGATCTAAACATGATAAACATTACACCCAGAAGCTTAATTTAATACACTATGTACTACATTTTGTACATGAGGTGTACACTTTAAATGACTCTGATGTTACATACCACGTAAGATCTCCTGCAAAATGATAATCAGAGCAATTACAAGCAAAGAGAATTTTTGCATTAAACAAAGAAACAACAAAGGCAAAACCAGGATACTAGAACATTCAAGAGTTTTTTAGAGTGATTTCACCCTGTAAATTCAGTAGCCTTTACTTTGATTTGTTCGCAGATTTTATTAATGTATTCCCCAAAATATACATTTTCAGAGGCATATGTTGGTTAGTCAGCTACATATTTAAAGCTGATGATGATCAGGGTAAGTGTCTTTTAGCACATACCAACTAAATGCAATAAGATATCCATAAAAAGGATTAAATGATAGTCCAATATTTCGGAATACTCAATTTAATTAAACTTGCCTCTCAGAAATCAAATGAACAAGAGGTACAATGCCAATCATCTTTGAGTAAAAAAAAAAAAAGAGTTTTTCTGCCATGTAGTTATTAAAATGAGAAGTGTTATGGGAAGATACATTTCTAAGAAAAAACTATGATTCAGACTGGGTTTTATCTCATCTAACTTTAGCCATCTGAGCATTGGGTTAGGATTTTTGTCATGAGTTGTCAGACATAGGCACTTCCAAAAGGAGTTAATTATACCTAAAGCATAAGCAGACCTAAACTACCAATGTAAGATGAAATCAGGCAGCAAGAATGAAAAAAAAAAAAAAAAAGAAAGTGGTTTTAAATGAAAATAAGTGTTATGTTCATCTTAAAACAAAACACAAGCAAACCAAAATAAACCAGAGGGTACTAGATATGCAGCATGCACAGGTATGTTTATTTTATTCTGGCCTTACTGCTTATTTCAGAACCAAGTAGATACCTTTTAATTTTTACATTAATTAATACAGAAAGATTTAATTTGAAAGATGCTTAGTATTTACTAACTTATAAATAGCACGGCAAAAAAATGAACAAAACCCCCCAGTTTATTCAAGTTGCTGTTAAAACATCCAGATGATGTATGCAAGTATGCCATTTTAACACTTTTGGAATTTCTTAATGAAGCAGAAAAATTAGTGAAGTTATGGCAAGGTGTTTAAATTAACCAACATTAGCATAAGAATTGAAGTCAGGTCTTACATTTGAACTTGAATCCTTATCCATCCCAAATCACTATCCTAATACTTCTGTCCACGTTTTTCATGCCCATCCAATAAAAGTATATGGCTGCATTTTCCTCAGGACTTTCTAGGTTGAAACCATTCAACTCTGTTATCTTAGTGTAGAAGTCATAGCACTGTAGGGAGGGAGCTACAGTTATATACAGATATCTAAACTTTTTTTATATATATATATAAAAATGACTATGAATATAGAGCAATTAAAACTATTTTTTCTTTTTTTTCTTCCTTAATCATTTAATGCACATACAATTGTGAAAAGATCTAGGCACTTAAGTTTTCTCAAGTGCCATTCCAATGATGTGCACTAGAGATGTTTAACTAGAAAATCTTAACTCAGAGTTAAAGGTAAAATTCTATTTTAATATTGCCACTCAATTAATATGAACTTAAGAGTAATGCCAAATTAATTATAAATGGAGGGAAGCCACCACTCTGCTGTAAATGTCTGTGGCAGAAATAATTTGCTGTGTTTTGCAGGTATATCTATTAGATGAAAGTAATATCTAGTAATTAGAGTGTTTGTTTTTCAAGTCAGCAGCCTTGAATTATAATAATGAGCTGAAGTCCCTTCCAATCTATTAAAAAAAACCCCAAACCTACAAGAAGTGTTCTTTATTATGATTATTACTTTTTTGAGCCTGATATTGTAGCAAGACAGAGGCACTTGACCTTTAATATTGTGGGAAGTAATGGTATCTGTGGAACCCATTGTGCCTCTTCTTGCCTCATCTCTGTCCTGGTTTCAGCTGGGATGTAGTTAACTGTCTTCCTAGTAGCTGGTACAGTGCTATGTTTTGAGTTCAGTATGTGAAGAATGTTGATAACACTGATGTTTTCAGTTGTTGCTCAGTAGTGTTTAGACTAGAGTCAAGGATTTTTCAGCTTCTCATGCCCAGCCAGGGCACCTGACCCAAACTGGCCAACAGTGTATTCCATACATGTGACGTCCCATCTAGTTTAGGAACTGGGAAGTGGGGGGGCGGGGAATCGCCGCTCAGGGACTGGCTGGGTGTCGGTCGGCGGGTGGTGAGCAACTGCCCTGCGCATCATTTGTACACTTCAGTCTTTTTATTACTACTGTTGTCATTTTATTAGTGTTATTATCATTATCATTATTAGTTTCTTCTTTTCTGTTCTATTAAATCGTTCTTATCTCAACCCAGGAGTTTTACTTCTTTTCCTGATTTTCTCCCCCATCCCACTGGATGGGGGGGGAGTGAGTGAGCGGCTGCGTGGTGCTTAGTTGCTGGCTGGGGTTAAACCATGACAGTCTCTCGGATGAAGCTCTTACAAATTGTCTTAATTCCATCGGACTCTTTTTTCATGTGTTCATCTGGTAAAGGAGTCTTTTTTCAGGAAATACAAATCAGCAGTCACACATTCCAAAACTTTTATCATGGAAGCAGTTCTGAAGTTGTCTATTGATCCCTGTTATTGATTGCTTCTCATCTCCAGGAGCTGAAAAAGAATCAGTGGAAGATTTGGTGTGTGACTGATTTGGGAATATGCCTAGTATTTATCATTAATCTCTTGAAGATCAGGAAAGTAGTCTTGGTTATCCACATTTTTTTTCCTGTATTCTCTTGGACTGATTTACATTAATACCAGTAAAATATCTTTGAAGATAAGTTTGCAGGAACTTCCTTTTATTTTTGTAGAACCAGTAACTAAAATGAAAAAAGGGAAGATACTGCCTAATTTGCCTATTTGCTGACTGTGGAGAAAACAGTTTTGGCTACAGGAGTAGGACATTAGTGTTATACTTTAGTTTTAAGTGAATCAATAATAGTCAACAATGCTGTAAACCTATCTAATATATATCACTACTTTGTAAATGTATGTAAAAGTTAATGCCTTGACCAAACTCTAAGAAATCTCTGAGGTAAGTAAAGAATAATGAAGTCTTCTAGAATGAAGAATGGCAATGGAAGGAAGTTAAGTAAAAAAAAGGATTATCATCCAGTCTTACAGCAAACAGCTGAGTGACGTATAGTGAGTACACAGTTCCCTTTTAACTATGAACTAGGGAGGGTAAGGAATTCACCATTTGGAAACCAAGATATTTAAACAACAGCTTCCAGACAGGGCTTCCTTTCCCCAAACACAAATGAAGCAGCTCCGTAATATTTCATAGTTAAAGCTCAGTTTTTTAGCTACAGACTTTGGTTAAAAAATGGATAATGCATCTCTGATCTTCAGAACTGATTGATGAAAATGTTGGCAAAGTTAATCATGTACTTTGTGTTACTTTTTCTGTCAGCTAATATTTTAGATTACTAGAGCTATGCAGATAAAATTCCATTCAAAGTCTGAATAGACTGAATATTCTACTAACCTTCTGATGTTGTTTAATCAAGTCATGGGGTCTGCTGCTTACCACATGAATTAACTGACCATGGATCAAATCTATACCTGGCAAGCACTGTGAGTGAAACAATGAAACAGCTGCTTTGGGAATATAGCATTAGAGGGAAACAGCATATTTAACACAAACAAATAACTGCCCTTACAACTGCCCTTACCGTTACTCCCCAGCCAGAGAAGGTAATTCTTACTTATTCTGAACTGGTATAGAACAGAGGTTTCAGAACATATAATTTGTTATTAATTTGCTTCATTTAGTATGCAATTCTGTTTTTTTTTCTTTTTGATGTAACTGCTCCGGCTACTTATATTAATGTTGTAGGTGTTTTTTTTTGTTTGGTTGGTTGTTTTTTGTTGGAAACTATAAGAAATATATAAGTCTCTATTTTTTTTGTGTGTATGTGTGTGTATAGGGCTATAAACTGCTCTTGATAGCATCATATCGTGTTTTAATATTCATGAAAGTTTCATGAAGGCATATGAAGAATTTAAGATCTGTATAGTCATTATATGCCAATCCATTTAATATTAATCTCAAAAACTGTATAACAATTCTTTCCTTCTTTGTAATTGTACTGATAGCTGAGTTTGTGCACTCCACAGAATTCCATTTTTTTAGAGTAAACTGCCTATGTGGGAGGCAGGGAAAAAGAATACATGGTTTCCAAAGTATGAGAACACTTCTACCTGCTTTTTTTCCCTGCTTTTATCTCCCTCCACCAGTTTTTCTTCTAAACTCCATAGTCTTTGATAGCTGTAAGCAAATGCTTTAGATTTGCATGGAAAGGAACAGAATTGCCATTCTTCTACTTGCCTGAATAGTCCATTGTTAGTGGTGAACACTTTATTTGTGTTGAAATCAGTTGAATGTAGAATGTATTCTTTTATGTCAAAGATCTTTTAATATACTTCTCTAATTTACTGGGGGAAAGGCATCTTTTGTTAGAATTGAAGCTTGAACAAAGAAAACAATCATATTATCTTTATTTTCAGTAGATTTCAACATAAATAAAAATGTACCTATGCATGGTACTACTTCCATACTACTTCCATGGTACAGATTCCATAAGTAAACCTAAAACAAAAGAGAAAGGAACACCAAGTATGAAAAGGACTGAGATGGGAAGAAAACATCAGTTTTTTGTGAGGATTTTTTTTTTTTCCTTTTGTAGCAGGTTTTGCTCTTGGCAGTATATAGTGAGAGCTGATGTGCCAGATGAGATTGCACCTATGTGGAAAAAAATGGCTTTAAATATAATTTTTGATACTGTAATGAAGCAATCTTTCTTCTTCCTTCTACTAAAATGCTCAGTGCAGCAACAGGCAGGTAACAGTATGTCAGTAAACCAAATAGAATAACTGGCATTAAGGGTCCCCTTCTTCTATGCTTGGCTCAGCGCTCTGTGCTCCTGCAAAATATGGAGGATTCAGTTTTACTGTATATGTTTGCTCTCTCACTTGTGGGCCAGCTTTGAAATGTGTGCACATGATTCAGTTTTTGAGTGTTTTTGTGCAAAAGACTTTGAAGGGAGGTAATGTTTGGGACTTTCTGGTAATTTATTTCTTAAGAAACTCCACAATTGCTATCATCATCCTTTTAGGAATATCATCTTGAAAACATGAGTGAGAAATAGGTAATAAATGTAGGGGACAAAAAAACCCCCTAAACATATGGGCCCTTTTCTGTCTTTATATTAGTGCTTCTATTTGCATGTGATATAAATGATACATTTGACAGGGTGTTGACAGCCTCAGCTCTGAGCTGCTGATTTTATGTTATTTCTTCTCTTTAAAAAGGCACAGATCTTCATATCCATATGCCTTTTATGTTTCAATGGCAAATCTCAAAAATAGTTTGATTAAAATGCACAAATTTAATACATTCACTTTATACTATTCCCCTGCTAAAATTTTATGGAGTTAAATAAGTTAGCAGAAAAAAGGCCATTAATTTCCATTTAAAATTTGTTGATAGTGGAGCCCCTCGAAAGCTTAGGAAGTTTTATTTATTCTCTAACTGCAAATGCAAATATAACCCCTCATCCCCAAATTAAACATTACATCTATCAGTTCAAATTGTATTTATGTAAACAGTGTTCACTATTAACGTCGTTCTCTATAACATTTCAAAATACCATTGTGATATGAAGAATGTTGATGAAATTTTCTGTGCCTTTGCTCCTCTGTAAAAATTAATCATTTAACAGATCGGGCCTTTAAATAGCTGATAAAGGTGGCCCTCTGTTTTCCAAATAGCTTGTCACTGGCATATTCAGTCATTATACAGTCATGAATCAGTTATCTTTGCATGAATGCTATGGGATGATTTTAAGGAAAACGCATCCAACCAATAATATTTTCATAATTATTATTCTTGGCCATACATTTAGCACTCAAGTGACATAAATCCAGATGTGCTGGCAAAGCCTATAAGAAAGACTATTCCTATATTAAAAATAAGATAATGGTGCTACCTTAATTCACGTACAATCTTGTGTTCTGGATCAAATTCTGAAACTGAGTTACTAACTCATTCAAAATCTTAAGCAAAACTCCCACCTACTTTAGGAAGGTTAGAAAGAAAATGCTGGTTCTGCAAATCTCACAAGGCAATGTAGGCTGTTACCACTTTCTGTGCAACTTAAACTGTATCATTTAAATTACATCTAGAAATTTCTGTTTAGTGCCCATTAACTTGAATGAAGCACAAAAAAGACAATGTGACTTAAATTGAGAATTATACTACAAACTATGCATCCATTTATTGTCCTAAGGGACACCACACTATCTCAAGAAGAGGGCTATATGTTACTTTGAATATTTGAAAGTCGTCAACCAAAAGAAAAAAAATATATTTTAATTTCATGTTCAAATGAATCACATCCCTCCCTCATCCAAATGCAGTTCTCCTACTCAAAGAATCATAGACTGGCAGAAGTGTTAGGGTATGTTAAATTTTGTTCCTTCATAGAAATTATATAGGCTTAGAAGTATAACTGGGACAGCTAGTTAGTCCGTAAAGTAGAATTAGTGTCAACTCTGGAGACATGTCAGTGTGCCAATGTGAAAGGTTTAATATGGTAGGACAGATAACAAAATTGGCAATAAATTATGTGTTGGAAAATTCTAACATGCAGAAAATTGGTATCATGAAGTGGCTTATGGGAATTTCTGGTGAGACATTGAGAATAGTTGGTATAACTTAATAGCTTCCTTTGGTTAATTATTAGTGATACATGCATAGCAGGAAATGGATTACTCTTATGTAGTGTTTAAAAATAAAATAAATCCTGAATACTTGGGTGTTATAAGTAGCTTGGAGAGATTAGGAGAAAGAGCATCAAATTTAAGCTGGGTTTTCTTTAAGTTTGTCATGATGTAAATATCTTTGTGGGATAGTAGTAATTCTCCTGGAATGGGTGTTTTTTCTTTCAGTTACCAAAACAAAACTAAGTCTATTTCAGAACTAATTTTCTGTTGGTTTTTTTCTGGCTTGGTTACTGATCTCAGTATAGTTTTAAAGAAGTTTTAAATAAAATAGATAAATCCATTTTAATACTATTTTATATATTTTAATATTACTTTTTAGTTGATAAGCATTAATTGCACCTTTTTTTTCCTTTAATTTCTTATTTTTACTCCATTTAAGGACAATGGCATTTAAATGTGAAGTTTGCTTGGAATTTATTTGCTTGTTTCAGTAAGATACAAGAAATGATGCCAAGTCATTTTGCTGTGCTTCTTAAACTGTTGTACAATTATTTATTCATCAGAGGTGACTAGAAGTGGCTTATTTGTTTTATTTCAGCATATCATTAAATGTGAAGTCTTTGTTATTACTAGAGACATAAGGATTTCTGCAAAATAGGATTTACATGTGTGTCATTCTCACAGAGGGGGAACGGGCATCAGTATTTCACATTCGCTTTGTTGCCTCACTACTATTGCTGGTGTATTTGTTTTGATTTCTTTGTGGTATAGATTCCTGTTTACAAATGAAAGATTTAATTACATTTTAAATTAACACAATTAGATCTTATTTAGAACTGGAGACAATTCTCTGTTTTTTTACTAGAGCTTTAGAATTTCCCTCTATTGCAATTAAAAAATTATTCAGAGGTCAATTTACTGATTTGCACGTGAATTTTTTCTTAAAAAACATTTATCAAATTTTTAGTTATCATAGAAGGCACTAAATAAATCTTACAGGACAGAGTGGCTGGCTTAGCTATTATTAAGTTATAGTTTAACTATTTTTAGGAATTAGAGGAATGCTTTAAAGCAACCAAGCTTGTAAAGAAATTTGCTGGGAATTATTAAAAGATTGTTTTATATATTTAGTAGTCTGATAGAAGTTTCCATTTCAAATATGGAAAAGAACAACTCTTGAAGACAAAGAAATAATAATAGTGCTGTATTCCAATTTACATATAGATTACATGACTCTTTCAACTTACAGAAGCAGTTGTTCGACTTATTTTATTTCCTAGTCTCCTTTTACTTTATAGTCATATTTGAACCTCTCTTTACATAGAAAAAGAATTCAGTGATTTATTTAACGAGCCAAATTTGGGGAGATGTGAGCTTTTCTATTATGCCATCTCAGTGACTTGAGGCAGACACAGATACACAAAATAGTTGTTTGCTAATAGTTTATGACCAGCATTGCAATACTGGCAGTGAAAGAGAAAACACAGAGGTTTAAAAACATCAAGCTGATATGGCACCTCTGTCTACTTCTATTGTTAGGCAGAAAAGGAACTGACATGTTTTAAATTGTGCATTTGAAAAATCATCACAATTAAGTCAGTTTAACTCAAGAGAGGCAAACAGCATATCCAAATAGTACTTCAGGTTGACTGGCAATAGATCTTCCTTGGCAGAGCTGTCCTTGCTCTTAATGGAGATGTACAGAATTATTTTGTAAATCAAATATCTCATTTTATTTTTCATAATTGTAAAACTCTCATTTGTTTTACAGATCTATGATGGCAAAGACAACACTGCTCACCTGCTGGGTGCATATTCTGGGGCATCATTAAGAGGCCTAACGCTAAGTAGTACTTCAAATCATTTGTGGTTGGAATTTAACTCAGACATGGAGGGCACTGATGAAGGTTTTCAGCTTGTGTATACCAGTAAGTATTTGAGAAAATAGTAGTAATAGATTTATGATTTTAAAGGCATGAAAATTCTTTGCTCATAAGATGAAAATACAGTCAAAAGACAAATAATGACAAAATCAACAGCAAATCAGTCATCACTCATCAAAATAATATAGTTCCATAGTTGTACCTCAAAAAACCCTAAACATGTAGCATACTGAAACCTTGCTTTGACAGTTCTTTGCATAGTTTGATGCTTAAACCACTTTTTTTTCTAGAGGGTTATTTTGAAGTTTTTTCAGCCTTGGAAAGGATAAGAAAAAAATTTCAGTTGTATTAGCATATAAAAATATCTAAGCATGTGAGTAGTTTTAAATGTGTAACTAAAACCCATTGTTTCATAAAGATAATTTGTAAGTAAAAGACATTCTCCATCTCAAGACTCATGTTCAATACTAACTTTGCATTAGACTAGCAATTTCTCACTTTGGATTATTGTTTAGAATAATCCAATTTGGAACCAAAATGATAAAGAAAGATACCTAAAAAAACCTTCTTACATAAATGTAGACTGACAAAATTAAACTACAAAGATTAGAAGAGGAAAAATCTTATCAGATCTTTGGCTTAGAGGGTATACGGGAAACAGCGATACACATATATTTTATCAAGTGGCAGCTTCTGAAAATATATGTGATTGTTACATGTATCTATTGGCATGCAGTGTATATGACTTCTTTACTGCATAATTATTTCATCGTTGCTGAATTATTATATAAAACCAACTTTTAGCAAGCAGAACAGTATTATAAGGTAATTCTGCAATGCAGCTGTCAACATCCTTTTTTCTCCTTGTGCTTACATCATTTATTTTTGCCTATTCAAAAAATATTCTTATGTTTCAAAAACTCTCCATCATGTTTTTAAAACTAACGCTAATGAAAATAATGTAAGTCTAGCAGAATGAAAGGAAAATATTTCAAGATATTACAAGAGTATGTAATTATTTTTCCAGTGAAAGTTGCATAATTATAACATGTAATAACCTGTGATAGCATAGGGCTGTACCCTATGATTAAAGATAGGCCTTTCAGTGCTGTGCTACTACAGAAATGTCAAGGTATTTCATTTTTCTTATTTATATAGGTACATCCAAGCCCAGCACTTGAACCTTATCATTAACATTTCCTGGTTTTTGAGACAGGCATTCTCATAGAATACACTTTCCGAGCCTGAACAGTTATTAGCCTTAACAGTGCTGAATCTTCTTTTGTAGATATTTGTAGAATTGGAAGAGAAAAAGTGAGAAAAACTCAGGGGTCAAAATAAAGACAGGAAGGAAACAGAAAAAGAGAAACCAAGTGATGCAAAGGTGGTCAATCATCACTTCCCACAAGCAGACCAATGCCCAGCCAGTATCTGAGCAATGGCCCCTTTGGAAAGACTAACCCCCAGTTTTATTGCTCAGCAAGACATTATATGGCATGGAATATCTCTTTGGTCACTTGGGGTCAGCTGTCCCAGCAGTGCCCACCTCCAGCCTACTTGCTGAGAGGGCAGAGTGAGAAACAGAGGACTTGATGCTGTGCAAGTACTGCTCAACGATAGCAGAAACATTGACTAAACCAGTGTTGATAACACACCAATCTAAATCACAGCACTGTATGGTCTGCTATGAAGATAATAAACTCCATCCCAGCCAGACTCAATATACTCCATCTCCTTTATACTCTCCCTTCAGATTTATATGCATGGATAAGATCCCCTCAAGCCTTCTCTTCTCCAGGCTGAACAGTCTCAATTCTCTATGCCTTTAGCTATAGGAGAGATGCTCCCATCCCTTAATCATCTTAGTGGCCCTTCACTGGACTTTCTTCATTAGCTCCACATCTTGTACTGGGGAGCCCAGAACTGGGCACTATACTCCAGATGTGGCCTCAACAGTGCTTAGGGTAGATGGGAAGGATCATGTCTGTTGACCTGCTGGCAACATGCCTCCTAATACAGCCCAGGATACCATTAGCCTTCTTTGCTGCGAGGGCACATTGCTGGCTCATGTTGAGCTTGGCATCCATCAGGACCTCCAGTATGCTTCTGCAAAGCTGCTTTCCAGCTGGGTGGCCCCCAGCATATTCTGGTGCATGGGGTTGTTCCTCCCCAGGTTGAGGACTTTGCACATCTCCTTACTGAACTTCCTGATGTTCATGTCAGCCTGTTTGTCCAGCCTGTCGAAGTCCCTCTGGATGGCAGCATGACCCTCTGGTGTACCAGCCAGTCCTCCCAGGTTGGTGTTATCATCAAATTTCCTGAGGGTGTGCTCTGCCCCTTCATCCAGATCATTAATGAAGATGTTGAACAGGATTGGACACAGTATTAACCCCTACAGCACACCACTAGCTACTGGCCTCCAACTAGATTTCATGCCACTGTTCATCACCTGTTGGCCATTTCCCATTTTGGGAAAGACAGCTAATATTTGTTTTGCATAGTTATAAACAATGAAACCTTCCAAAAGTACCATGGGCTTAACCTTATGCTTTTAAGCAGAAAAAAAATCCCCACAAGATGTAATGAAACATTCTGTGTCTTCAGGGACACATTGTGAGGATTCGTGTTCTTTCAGTTGCCTAAAATAGCCAACTGTTGCCTTTCTAGATCTCTCCACTATGCTCCTAGCTATCAGGTGCTTCTCCAGAAGGATACAGTTTTCCCTTTGGTCCTGTTGCCAGAACTGCCAGCACTGTGTGGATAGCTGAAATAACTTAGGGCAGCAAAAATGCTTCTGGTACCTATGCTTAGGCAATGGAGTTACTTGTTCACCTTCAAGAGGGAAGTGATCAGTTAAAAAGACTAGTTTGGTGCTGTGTCTATAAGCAGGCCATCCAGAGTTGAGGACGTTTCAGTGATCGAGGCAAATTTTAACTTCTTTTCACACAGTATGATCAACATTTTTCTTAGACAGGAAATTCTAACTTGTCAGTAAGTATCCAGACTGGCAATATCAAAAAAGGTTCTTTGTTTGGAACTCACATTAACCCCTTTTAGAGCTCTTGCAGTGCAGTCTGTTCTGGGAAACAATAGCTTGACTAGGAATGAGAAAAGTTCAGCTCAGAGCTTGTGAAGGCTCTTCAGGAGGTGAGCCATTTTCAGTGAGACATTAAATGAGGTGACGGAAGAACAGGGAAGATAGAGCATTTGACCTATTTTTTTCCTTATGTGAGCAAACAGCCTTACCCAACCTGAAGTATTTTGTCTGTAAAATAAAATAATGACCATTTTTTCAATCAATCAATGATAATGATTCAGTACCTGAGGAGAGATTGTGAAAGGCTACCAACTGTTGACCAGATGGACAAATACTGTGTAAGTGACTTCACTAAACAATGCAGATGCGAAAACCCCTTAATTTGCTCCCATGTCACCTACATATAAGAATATCAATCTGACACAAAGTACCTTTTTTACCGACAAACAGTTTGAGCTGCATGGTATTGATAAAAAACGTTTGGTTTTGAACAAAGCGAGGTTTTGAGCTGCTTCTCTGTTAATAACAGAAAATCTTACTTGTAATAGAAAATATTTCCACCAAATTACAGTTTATGTTTCCCAAAATGTTAATATGCTTCCTTGTTTCCATATAATGCATAAGTCATTTTGTTTCCTTCTTGCTCCACGTCTCTTAATTCTCCAAAATGTCCAAATTGTTTGGCTTGAATTCTCTATATCATCATTATCATTGCTTCCTCCATGTAGTTTTTAAATTTACAATCTACTTAATGCAGGATTATGGTAGGTATTGATGAATATAACAGTATTTCTTTGGTGCCATAGGTGCTATTGTGCTGCTGTTGTTACTGTGCACAATAACAAATCTGCTGTGCAGTTTTGTTTATGAGTCTTTAAATGTCTATTCAAAAACTAGATTGTCATCAAAATAAATGGACAATCACTTTAACTGCCATTTTATCATTTATCATATCATTTTAGAACTGATTGATAATGGTAATGAATTTCCTTCTAAGTCTTTAATTGGACTCTTAGGAAAAATGTTATGACACAGTTTGGTTTGCATGCTCTAAGTGAGGGGTATAGACAGTTATCCTTTAGACTGTTTAAAAACAGAGAAGAAACTTTAAATATGTTGTTACATGAAGTCTGAAAATGTTTGCTTTCCATTGGAAAACAGAAAATCTTAATTTCATTAATATATCTATTTCTTTGATTTTTTAACTATAACGTGTTATTCCTACCACAGGTTTTGAGCTTTCACATTGTGAGGACCCTGGTGTGCCACAGTTTGGATATAAAATCAGTGACCAAGGCCATTTTGCTGGAAGCACTATAATTTATGGATGCAATCCAGGTTATACACTCCATGGAAGTAGCCTTTTAAAGTGTATGACTGGAGAAAGAAGGGCATGGGACTATCCTCTGCCATCATGTATTGGTAGTAGACTCTTATTTTTTATTTAATTAAATTATTACCGGAATATAAGAAAGAAAAAATATAAGGATTGTTAGATCTATGTGAAATCTGATCTGTATGTATAGAGATCTAGTTACACATATATTTACACATCTGTGTGCATAGATCTCATCTAAGTCTATGAGAGTGGTGTTGCTTTTTTTAGGTTAAGAAAAGATAGTAATTATTAAACGTTCGTGCATACTGAAATTCCTAATGCGTGAAAATCTAGTTATAGTCAGCAAATAGTCAACATAAAAAGACAGCTTAATCAGAAAGCCAGGACCATATATGTTTTATGAGGGGTTCTAAAACCAGTATTTTTTTTTTTTTATTTCATCTAACTAACACTAAGCTAGAAAACTTTTCACATATTTACATATAAATACTACAAAATAAATTAAAAGAAAAACTTAATATGTCTGTATCTCTTAATATCTTTACTTGGCTTCTGTTATGTTGCTGTGATGAATAACACAATATTATGCCCTTTATTACAATATCATGATAACTTTATAGGTTGTGCAGGTACCTACAGGCTCAATTCCTGAGCAAAAAGATGACAATACTTGAATATTCTAGTAAATTTCTTCCTTTTTCATCTTTTGGAGGAAATTTGGATTGAGTGAGTAGGGGAAGCAAGAGGTGAAATGCACTTTGTGCCTAGATTTAAGTGTGACAGAAAAGAGTGTACTTTGACATATCTTCATCAAGACATAAAGCCCATTTAAGAAAAATATGCAACAAATAAGAACTGAACAGCTCTCTTAGAGTAATATTTAGGGAAAAATTGCTTAAATCCCACTGTGATAAGCCTTAGCTAATTTCTACATCATTCAGGGTATACGAAACCAAAGAATTAGGGGGAAAGCATGGCACTGGAACATGCAAGTAGCAAATAGGAGGTGTACAAAGAACATATGATGGAAGTTGAAACAAAAAGATCAGATAAAATGTGAAGGTGCCAGAAATTTGAAGTTAAAAGTTTCAATATCAAATTACATTTTCAGTTCCATTATAAGCATTAAAAATCATAGAATGTGTCACCATAGTAACACTCAGCTATATATGTGAGTTCTTGCTTAGTTTTAAAACAGACCAAGGTGAAAATGTCTAAAATTATTCCTTCATTATTTTATTGATTATATAGATTACGTACTGTGCGCTATTGGCACTAACTGGGGGAGCTTCAATTTTCTCATATTCTAAGCAAATACTGAAAACCTCATATAGTTCAAATCTAGACAGTTTACTGGATGGGGATCACTAGAACAGCTCACAGGTGGGAGTTGAACACTGTTGTTGTGTGTCCCCTACATGACAGAAGCTTTTTGGAGGAAGGTCCCTGGACTTAATTATTCAGCAGTTCCTTCCCAAAATAGATGCATACAGCTCAAAAGGTACAGGTTGGCCACCTTTGGATTAGGAAGTGAGCCAGATTCAGAGCTGATATAAACTAACAAAAAATTTCAGTGAACTGAAATCCAGAGTTGAATCTGGACATCTGTTAAAAGTGATGATATGCTGCATATACTCAAGGTTTTATATTCTTTTTTGTTTCAATACTGGTAAACTATGCAACTTAAATTACTATCTTTCAAAAAAAATAACACAAATTAAGCACCTGGGTTTTTGCACTGCCACCAGACTGTGAAAACTGCAATACAGTTATTCCAAAATGTTCTATATAGGTGAATCTACTTAGAATGTGAATCAACCTGTGGTGTAAACTTACTGAGTTTTGAATCAATCTTACTCAAAACATATCTATTAGTCTGCTATTCACAGGGAGGTTACTTATCCATCCAGTTCAGAATACCATGTATTTGTATATATTGCTCTTCATTAAGTAAACAAAAGTACATAGATGGTGTCATTTTAATGAGCTTAGAAATTATTTATATTGATTTTGTCTGAATCAATTGGGTATTTCTCCATAGCCAAATAATAAAACATGTTACTTGCATCCAGAGAAGAGTTAAATAGCTGTACAGCTGTTGTCTGTATCAGCAGTAGCATCCACCCCAAAGCGAGGATTGCATAGGTTTGGCTAAATAGATTTTAAAAGAAATTTAATTAGAACAAGTGAGGTTTTTTTGTATAGACAAGCTTAAGAAATCAAAAAAAATTTGAATGCCAATTGTAAATAATGATCTTGAATTCCACATACCTTTTGGTTTTTCATATTAATTATGGATCACTGCAGATGCTTTAAAATACTCTTGAAGGGATGCAGTATGAATCCTATAAAATGTCTTCTTGCACTGAAAAATGTATAGTAAAAGATTAATGATGCAACATGAGGAAATTGGCTAGAAGAGAACTGGGAAGACAGAGGGCAGTTAAGAAATGCACAATATGATCAGTAAAAAAAGCATGCTCAGATTAGAAATATTCCTCAGAAAACAAAAAAATTGCATCACAACAGTTTTTGTATAGTACTGAGACCTCTTTCAGATATCTCTTTAATATGTCCAAACAGAAGCCTGGGTCTGAACATATCTTAGTCATTTGTGATCAAAACAGTCAGATTTTGAGACTTTTAATTCAGTAATGGGTTAAATAGCAGGAGGTGAAGATGAATCAGCAGTAAAACGGTTCTAACATTTCTGGTTTATAGGAATCCTTCTTTAAACATTCACTTTTAGTTAGAATTAGATTGAAACTAAACCTCTTTGCTATGAAAGGAAATTGAAAAAACAAACAAACAAAAAGATTTTTTGCAAGACTTGCCCTTTATTTCCAGAGTACTTGTTCATGAGTCAGGTAGCTGTATGCACTCAAGTTTCATACTTACAAGAACTTGGTCCCAGCCCACTACAAGATCTTTATGGTCTACAGATTGTTCAGGCAAACCTTGAGAATCTGTGAAAACAGTGATGCTTTGCTTGAAATATTTTAGGTTGGCATGTACAAATAAAATTATTTCCCTGGATATTTATGAGCAACATAAGTCAACAGACACTTTAATTTGCTGCTACTATCAGAAATTGGCTTAAAAATGCTACTGTTCTTGTTTTAGTATCATTTCATGGAAGAATGTGACATTGACAAGACAACAAGAAAACTTTTCAAGCAGCTGTAGTAATCATAAATCTTAAACACGTAGTAAATATTACAATATGACATACTATCCATGGAATTTGCAGGAAGAAATGTAGTATAATATGTATTTCCTTTAACTTGACATCCTTAGGAGAATCTTTAGTATTGACACCTGGAGGCAAAATTAAGATTCTTAATTAGGATTTTCTTCGTAGTAAGCAATCTGGAGATGTAACATAAAAAGGGTTTTGCTCTGTTACTCCTGAATGCAACCTGAGAGGATGCTGCTTTCTGAGAATTCACCACTTTCACAGCTGATTCAGCAACCAGCAAAACTGGGGAGCTGGAACCTTGCTGTAGAGGCAGAAATAAACCACAGGGGAGAGAGGGAACCTGCAAAAATCATAATAAAAAGGCAAACCAGTTATCCTCTGTGAAAATTAGAAATTGTAAACTTGTAGTTGTTCAGTGGTCCTGGATGAAATGTAATTAATTTTAAATTTCATTCAGTTTGTCAGTGAGTAATTTTTTCTTTATAGTGTACTCTATTTATATCCTTACTGTGTTGGAAGAATAATAGACTATGCTGTCCTCTGAATTGAATAATTATGAAAGATTTTTTTAAAAGAGTGCTTAGGAATTAACAGATTGGCGAAGTGCTTCAAAAAGATATGAAAGGCCACCTGTCTCTGCAAATTTGCTTTTATTATGTCAGAAAATCTATCAAGAGTAGCATTTCAATTATATTTTACCACAGAACTCACAGATCATTATGTAATAAATCTCCCAACTAGATGTTTTGGGTAATTTTAAATCAAAATAAAACTGCATTTTAACTATACCAAGAAATCTAATCAAAGGATTATTTTGCCTTTGCACTTCACAAGAGAGAAAGCATTAGAGGGACTTTAAAAGGAAAAAAAGCAAAATAGGAAGGCTTTAAAGGCCTCAAGTTTTCTCAGAGATTAGGTATTAAGATTATGAAATACTCAGTTTTGCTTAATGACTGGGTGAGGCCATCTAAGAGGGAAGTACTTGCCATCTGTTATCCTCTAAGAAATACTATAGCTTCACTGTGAGGACAAGTTTTGAGTAAGAAGTTTTAAACTTTTTTTTTTTTCTAGGCTGAAAGGCTGATTTTCTCTCCGAATAGCTTGGTTTTATTTAGTATGTTTCATCTCTTTTTTTAAAAAAATATATATTTTATTTTGTACTTACTTATTTAGTTTTCTGAATTTAATTCTACTGCTTTAGGGTGGCAGGGTGTTCTTGGGTTTGTTTGGGGTTTTTTTCAAGTAACAATCCATGCTCCTTCCTTTATATAATGGTATGTTTTCTAATCATTACAGTATGTTCAAAATTATTAGAAAAACATAGGTGACAAAGGAAAATATAAACGTATTCAAATAAAACCATATTTACATGTTCCTTTCCCAAGGCATTTCAAGTCCTTATATGTTGTCTTACAATCTCAGGGCATGGTCAGTTTTGTTGTGTTACTTATTCAGCAAGAGAGTAGATGTATAAATTGGTTGCTCAGATGATTAGCTGGAAGACCATCTGTAATGAACTAAAAGTAACACATTATGTAATGTTTTTTATTAGCTGAATGTGGAGGCCGTTTTAAAGGAGAATCATCAGGAAGAATCTTGTCTCCTGGCTATCCTTTTCCCTATGACAACAATCTGCGTTGCATGTGGATGATTGAAGTAGACCCAGGAAATATTGTCAGGTACTGGAAACAAATCTTAGAACAAATCTTTTTGATTATATAATAACCAAATCTTACCTGTAGAGTGGAGAAAAAAAGGGATTTAGCATTTAAAATTTAAGATTCAGCTCAAGGGCAGTATTTTTGGCATTCTAAGTTTGAATATGTAGGTTTGTGTTGAAACTGTCTATTTTTTAATGAACATTGTCTCATGAAGATCAAGCTTTAAAATTGGTTACATTTCTGTGAAACTCTGATGAATTTTAAACCAATTTATAAGTGTATATATGCAGACATATATACAGACTAGAACTGTTAACTGGAAATCTGAATAAAAAATATCTAATATGATGCTATTTTAATGCCAGAATTAGAAGATTGAATATGTACAAAGTAAAAAGTGTTGGAGTCAGCAGAACCGTTTAGTGGAAGAGTCTACATTTTTAAAAAAAAACCCTGCATTTCAGTAATTATTTTAGTTAGACCTTTTTTTATTCACATTGTATCACTAATTGTATGAGTTCATAGTTCTATTAAATTTGTTTTGATGAGAACATGGTATCATATATGAGAACATGGAAATCAAAGTCTGTTTGCTTTTTTCGTTTAGTTTTGTTGCTAAAGATATGTTGTTGGGTAACATGAAAACTGACAATAAAATCATGGTATTCCTACAGCCTCCAATTTCTTGCCTTTGATACTGAGGCATCCCATGACATTCTACGAGTTTGGGATGGTCCACCTGAGAATGAGATGTTACTCAAAGAAATTAGTGGATCCCTTGTTCCTGAAGGCATTCACAGTACACTCAACGTAGTAACTATACAGTTTGACACAGATTTCTATATCAGCAAATCTGGATTCGCCATACAGTTTTCAAGTAAGTTGGTAATTTTTATTTTTTTTTTAATAAGGTGGTTCACTCACAGTTAATTGTAGGGCTGGGAACAATTGAAATCAGTGTAAACATTTCTGACTTTGTTAGGGAAAGAATTGGCCCAGACTTACAGATTTGCTGTAAAGTTATATTTTTATCTTAAAAAAAAATTAAAAAATCATGTCCTTTGCTAGTTTGGCTTTGTTTCAAGGGTAGCTGTGGCAGTGCCAGAATGCTTATAATTATGACCAGTGTTTTTCACAAGGGAGGTGATGTAGGCGTGTTAAAGACTTCATCCTTTCCTAATCAATAAGCATTTCTGCTTTCAGAGACATCTGTGTGGAGTTTTCATTCCTGCTTGTATAGGATGAAATGGGAAATAGCAGTACAGGAACAGCAGTGTCCTTCTCCCTTTTGCCTTCTAGCGCTATTTCATCTTATTACAGGCAGCATAGTGACAAATCTAAACAGTTACTTAACTGTTATTGAATCCCTTTAGACATTTTTAGTGCTGATACAGAAGAAATCATTGAGTGAAGTCCATTTTGACCTTTTTTTTTTCTGGTCAGTGAAATTTATATATAATTTTTTCAAGATTGGCAAGATCTCTTTTAATATCATAATTTTGTTTGGCAGTAGCAATATTTCTAACATGGGTTGACACAGACACTCTTAATGATAACACTGTTTACCTTGTTGTGCTTCCTGTGCTTGGTAGTTGTATTAGCCCTTGTTTTCCCCTACCCTGATTCTTCCTGTGTATATGAGAAATACACATGTGCGCACACAGTAATCGGAATGAAGAATGAAGTATGTGAATGAGAGGACAAAGTAAAAGATATTTAATATATAGTGAAAGAGTGCCTCTGCTCCATCTGCTGGTTTTTGAAGCCATGAATAGTTTTTTTTATTCCTTAGATCCAAGATATTTTTGCCATTTTACCACCTTACCCCCTTTCAGAGCCTGTTTGGGAGAATCTCACATATCTGCTCCTTTATTTAATGTTGAGGCCAAAAAGGGAATGGGGAGAGCATTATGCACTGAACCTACTCAGGTAGTCATTTAGGGTGAGTGGAAAAAGACATTGATGTAGACTAAGAATGGAGTTACAAGGAAAAATAGATAGGACATAGGAGTAAAGCCGTAAAGCAGCTACTGATGTACTTCCAGTGCTTTACCTGAAAAGAGGTTTTAGAGTTTCATCTAAAAGGAGAGGTATTTTATTTAATTCTCCATGCTCTTGCAGTCTGTTGAGATCTCATGATGACAATTTAAAGGATCCATGAAGTGTTACTGCTTCAGCATTTCTCTTACTCTTCAGTCCATGTTCACAAAATCACGGTGATCCTTCTCAAATACTTGATTTTGCACAGTTTGGGTATATATTCCTTATCAGAATCACAGAAATACTTTTTTTCCTAAGTTAAGATTTAAAAAATAATGTATAGATAGCTACGCAAGCTGAATTACACTGTTGCTGTATGAACATATTATTTTACTAATGAGGAAAGAAATATATTTGAGGAGCTGGAGGAAACAGAAAGATAATTCTGTGCGACTTTTTTTCAAGCTTTCATATACTTTCTTTGAGTATATAATGCTGTCTGAGCAAAACAGATGGTGTCTGCATACTTTACCTCCAGTGTAATTAACAAACAGAAAGCTCACACAGGGGAGGTATCTGCTTTTACTTTCCTCTTGCCATTTCATGAAATTGGGTATGAGTATTTAACTGGATTGTTGGCACTTTTACCTCAAGAGGAATGTTATTCAATGACAACAGATATTTGATGTTCAAACCTTTTTAAGACCGTGAATGCTTTATTTTTATTGATATTTTCTTAATCTTTAAACTCAAAATCTGTTTCTAAAAAGTGGATTAAACTTCTTATCAGTTCCTTACAGTTTTTGATCTCATTTTATCAACTGCTCATACACAGTTCTGCATCTGTCATTTATTTAATGAGTGAAAATGTTCACCATTGATAATGTGGTATAATTTGAATTTGACTCCTTTATAAATCATCCAATATATACAGAAAATTAATTTGTATCCGGTAACATAAATTACAGGTGAGATAGCATTCTTTACCACATTAAAGGGTGGGGGGAAGGAATGCCTAGTGAAGCTGAAATGTTATATAAATAGTAGAAAGAAAACTGTAATTTAATTAGTATTATGTATTACAGCTGGTGCTATTAGAATTGTCTCTAGCTAGGGCTGCCCAGCACAATCCTTTACATGGCATCAAAGTGTTAATAATTCTGTAAAATTTAGGGGATGGGAAGGAGAAGAGAGTCAAGATAAGGTTTTCTTGCCCATTGCCTCAATTAGTCTGTTTTGTTTGTTTCTTTTTGTTTGCTTCCCTTTTTTGGGGAGGAAAATGGAAATTTGTTATCTGAAATAGTAAAACTATTTCCACGATTTTAACATTTCTAATCTCTTTTGGTAAGTAATTAATATGAAGGAAACTATTTTATGTTTAACTTCTCAGGAATACTGCAGACTTTTTTATGGTTGACAAGGATAAATTTTCTAAGTTTGTACAGTTGTGCGTTACTCTGAGAGCTAGAATACAAGGTGATGGATTTTGGATGAAATAAGGGAGCTCAGCCTGCTTATGCTTCTATACTTTCCACCATCATAATATATTTAGGACTACTGAAAGTACAGCTTTTTTTATACAGCTAGTGTAAACAAAGAAATGCCACTGCTCATGACTTCACATCTCATCACTAGGCAGAGCATACCTTTGCTGTAGTATTGTCTTTGATGTGCAGTCTATAATTTTCTTGTTGGACATCTCAAACCATGACTACGGAATCTCTTCATATAAACTTTAAAATTTCTCAGGTTTTGCGATCTCCTTTGAGATGACAGTGAAGGAACACAATAGAAAGCAGAGCCCACAAGGCCTGAAAAACAAAGTACAAAAAGATGTGTAATAAAGCAGAATATTTAAAAACTTTGCATATACATGTAAAACAAAAATAAGAACCTCTGGGGATTCACCAGTGGATTTTGGAACACCTCTAAATGGGATGAACAGGTTGAATAACGTAGCTAGAAAACAGGTGCCAGCGTCTTCCCTTAAATCAGGAGAGTGAAGTTGACAACAGGACACAAGCAATATGGAAACAGGAAGTACCTGTTACAGCGTATTTTTTTTTTGAACTGTCAGGGGCAAAGCATGAAGAGCCCAATACATACTGGAAAAACACCAATGAAGTCAGCAGTAACTTTGTTTGGTCAGTAAATTCCTCACAAAATAGAAAACTAGACCTTCAAGAAAAGTGAAGGAGAAAGAGAAGGGAACAAGTGCATATTTGCCAGAGACACGAGCTGTGTATCTGAGGGTCAGACAGAAGTATTGAGCATAATGAAACATTTTCTTCGGCTGACATTCCTTCATGTCACCAAGCTGAGAGTAGTAGCTGAGAGAGGAAAAGGCAGTGAAAGATAACTGAAAAAAGTTGAGTGGGAACATTAAAGTGCAAAAAATTGGGTGATAATAATCAAGTGTGCTTAAAATAATCTTTTTTTAGTTCCTTTAATATGCGTGAAGTGTGTAATATCAGATCCTACTGAAGTTGATGAGATTATTTCCATAGATTTCAAGGGCCTTTGAATCTGGTATTACAGGGAAGTTTCCTCCCCGCTATCTTTAACAGTTCAGGTGCCATTTATCATTTGTGCAAAAAGGAAGGATCTGTATTCATCTCTCATTGGCCATTATTTCACCGTTATAGCTGCACTACTGAGTCACTCAGCATTACAGACTGCATTCTTCTCAGGCCTAAGTGTACAGTCACATTTCTGACTATACAGCACACAATATGGAGGCAGCCAGTGCAGAACTAACCTGTAAACTTGTTTTGAGTATTTGGGGGGTTTTTTTTGTAAATAGATACTCTAGCAGTATTTTATATCATGTGACAGCAGTTTATTATATAACAGGATATGCCTTAAAATGCTTGGATTTACTCTACTGTCAAACTACAGCTGTCCCTCCTTATTTTAAGATTGGGTAAATAGCACTTTGGAGTTACTTGTCTTTGTAGACTACTGAAAAAGCCTAGAAAACTTGTATCAGATAGCCTGGATGGCTTAAGTTTGACGATATTCATTTCCAGTCTAGAATTATATTGCATGATATCGCTTACTTTGATTACATTTAAAGATTGAATGCTTACAAATCAGCTTTCTATATTTATGATTAGTGCTGATTTATAGCCACACTGTCTTCTAAATATCCTGTCTTTGATTTTTTGTTTGCTTGGTTGTTGGGGTTTTTTTGGGGGTTGTGTTTTGGGGTTTTTTTGTGGGATTTTTTTGTTCAGAGAAAGACATATTCACCACAGTCTCATTTAGGAAGATTTTTTGACACTGAACACCTTCTTGTTTTTTACTTTTCTCCATTTTTTCCAGTAGCACAGAAACAGAGATCTCTACTTCTAACAAGTTTAGCCTAAAGGTGATTTGAGAATGGATTTAGGGAATTTAACTTCTTGCTTCCTCAGAATGCTGTTTACCAGCACTGCTGCTATAGGGATCACTCCCTAACATAACTGCTTCACTTTTCTGAAATCAGTAAGATAGGATTTATTCTTCCTCATGTCTATTTCATAGCAGAACCAGCTTTTCATCCTAAAGGTTTTCATACTCTGATTTGCTGATTTCTTTCAAGTTTGAGAGGAGTCCTTTGGATTTAGAGATTTCAGGGTGACTATTTTGCTATCAGAAGTAACTGTGAACGCTCACACTTCCAAATTTAGCTCAGTGGTTTTGTTTTAGTTTTGCTGGGAGTAGTGTTGGTGTGTGTTTTCTTGTGGGTTTTTTTGTGTTTTTTTTTATGGGTTTGGTTTTGTTTTGTTTTGAGCATCAAGAGGCTTAAAAGAAAGAAGCCATTGAATAAATTTGTTTCCTTCTATCAGCTGTTGCCTGTCTTCTAAGTAGTAGGTATTAGTAAAAGGAATAACCATTTATGTGTCTTTCAATGCA